TATATATATATATATATATATATATATATATATATATATATATATATATATATATATATATATATATATATATATATATATATATATATATATATATATATATATATATATATATATATATATATATATATATATATATATATATATATATATATATATATATATATATATATTTCTGTTAAACAGAAATTGGGGGGTAAATATACAGGGGGACTAATAATTCAGGAGGGCTAATAATTCTGAGCTCAACTGTAGGTATAAATTATGAAACTTGTTTTGTGATGTAAAGTCATGATTACATTATAAGTGGATTTCAGAGAACTGCTCCAAATAAACAAGGACAACAGATCATGACCCCTTTAATTTTTATAGATCACCCAAAATAGATTTCAAACAAATGTGGTGTTTGAATAGTGTTTAGCTAACCGAATGGTACTCATAAAAATAATCTTAAATGTACTTTACTCACCTTCCATGGAGTCTTCACAGCGCTGGTTGAAGTTCTCGTAGGAATCCCAGCGGATTAGTGCATCTTGGGTATTGTAGTCCACAGAAACACTGGGCCCGTTCTCAAGGTGGTCCATTCCTATGACAGAAGTTGTTTGCTCAGATTATTCTAGGCTCAGTTAATGTGCAGCTAACAATATTTTTTTGCAAAAAACAACATTGATTATAGTTCCTACCTTGGATTTTTTCTGGGCCAAAAGAAAAGACGAATTCCACCTTTCCATATTCTGGAAATCTGTCGTCTGAAAAAAATAAATAAAGAAAGAAAAATGAAATGACCACTAAGCCATTGAAGGTACTTTAAAGTGATATGGGTACAATTAATTCATTTAATACAAAATTAACAAAATAAGTTTAAAATGAAAATGAAAATTTAAATGAAAAGTAAAAATAAAATAAAATTCAATAAAAAAACTATGTATAAATAAATAAATAACTAAATAAAACCTAAACTAAACAGTAAAAAATAATAATAGTTGAATAAATAAATTAATAAATAAAAATTATTTAATAAAATTTTATTAAATTAAAAATAAAATTAACAATAAAATTTAAATGAAAATTAAAAATAAAATATATACATAAATAAATAAAAACTAAACTGAACTGAAATTAAATAAATAAAAGAATAAATAAATAATAAATTAATTAATTAAAATTAAAATTAATTAAAATAAATTAAAAATTAAATTAAAATGAAAAATAAAAATAAAACGAATAATAATTTAAAAGTATATAAATAAATACATAAACAAAACTAAACTGAAAAAAATAAAATAAAAAAATAAATGTATAAATCAATACATAAAAACTAAATAAAAAGTAAACAAAATTATTATATTAAATTAAACTCAAAATAAATAATTGAATATCTTAAAATAAAATAAAATAAAATAAAATAAAATAAAATAAAATAAAATAAAATAAAATAAAATAAAATAAAAATAAAATAAAATAAAATAAAGCATACCTTTAAAGGTTTCATCAAGCTCATCTTTGCCGAAGACGATACCCAGATCATGAACAGCACAGGTGTGAAACTGAACTCTGAATATGACATCACGGCATGGGCTGCGGAAACGCTTGTGATAACACTTTAGCTGTGGCACACACAAGAAATGAGAAATGATCAATGAACAAACCTTTTAATATATCAATTATGTAAATAAATATAGATTGTCATATTATTATGTTATCTGATTATAAAATGTAATAATTAAATGTAATAATTTACTATACAGTAAATTATTACATTTAATAATAAAAACAACAACAACTATTATTATTATTTTTATTATTTTCAATAAACCAATCAATAAAGTTTGTATTAACTTAAATAAAGCACCAGTACTTTTGGATTTCTAAGATCTACACATGTAAACATCAAACATAATATATAATATATAAATATACTGTATATTTAAACAACGACTAAAACAAAAGTAAATCAAAACAAAACATTTTCTATTTTTCTATGTGGCTGCATTTCTGGTTTTGCATTCTCAGTGTAAATTCCTGCCAATGGAGTTTGCTTCACTTCAGCTTGTAACCGCAATTTATGCTTCTTTGTTCTCAACAGTGCAAAAGGAGTGACATTATTTTCTGTGGTAATACACATGGCACAATCACCACAGATAGATCTTAACTCTATAACCGAACCCAGATCAGTCCTCCGCATGCATGGCACATCATTCAAATGCAATCTTGTGTCAAAAAACACACATATCCGGCACATAAAGTTCAATTTGGAAGTTTTGGAGAGGTTTTCAGAGGTATTTTTCAGTAGAGTAAAAGTATGTAAAACAACAGAGACGTTCCAAAATCAAGACAAAGACATACACTTGGCCAGTGAAGAAACTGCAGCCCTCTTTCTATTGCCCAAAATAACTATAATTAACCTACTTAACATGAAATGCACTTTTTAGTTGGGAGAGTGAAACCAAATAAACACCAGCGGGTTGAGAAAGACGAGGGCTGGAAGAGTATGAGGTTTCACCAAAACCTGCAGCAGAGGATCAGCTGCACACATGGGGGGTCCAGCTCAAAACATACAGCTCTGAAATTTAAAATTCAGCATCATCCTCCGTCCTCCAAAAGTTAATTTTATTTCATTCATACATTTTACTTTAGCTTAGTCCCATTATTCATCAGGGGTCGCCACAGCGGAACGAACTGCCAACTTATCCAGCATCTGTTTTACACAGCGGATGCCCTTCCAGCTGCAACCCAGTACTGGGAAACATCCATACACATTCATTCACACAAATACACTATATGGCAAATTTAGCTTTTTCAATTCACCAATAAAGCATTGTCTTGGGTTTGTTTGGGAAACCGGAGCACCTGGAGGAAACCCATGCAAATATGGGAAGAACATGCAAACTCCACACAGAAACGCCAACTGACCCAGACAAAACCAACGACCTTCTTGCTGTTAGGCGACAGTGCTAACCACTGAGCCAACCGTGCTGCCCTTCATTTTATTTTATCTTTGTTTTTTTAATTTTATTTATTCATGGGTAAATGATGTAAAACTATAAAGAACAGATTAAAATAAATTATTAAATAAAGATTAAAGATTAAATAAGATTTAAACAAAAGCAACAATGCATGTGTAAAAAATAAAAGCAGTACAGCAAAATATGATGCATGTCTCTAAACAAATGTTAACAGAACCTAATTTAATTTAGTTGGTTTATTTATTGACTTATTTATTTTATTATTAAATAATTTAATAATTTAATAATAAAAAAAGATTTAAATAAATTAAAAAACAAACATTATAAGATTAAATAATATTTAAATATTTGTTTTTATGTTTTGTTTAATTTACTGTATAATATAAATGTAATTTTTAAAATATTTAATGTTTTTTGTATATTGTGTTTATTATTTTATTGATATTTCATAAACAAAAACAAAATGTGTGTAAAAGAACAAATAAATACTTAATGTTAAAAAAATAAGTAAATGACTATAAAATTAAATAAATATAAATTGGATTAAAACAAAAATAAATGAAAAGGTAAATTTAAATAATTACAAATAATACTAATGTAGTAATACATACTAATTAAATAGTTTTAAAAATAATAAACTAAATTAAATAAAAAATAATAAATAAAATTCATATAAAACTCCATGCAAATGTAATAATCTGGATAAAAATAAATTACTTAATTATTTGATTACAAAAATCAATAAATAACAATATACATGATCGAAAAGTATCAGGATTACAACAAAAATAACTAAAAAAAATAAAATAAAATAATTTCTAAAAATAAAATGAAAATAAATGTTAAAAAGTAAAAAAAATAAATAAATCTAAATAAACAATGTACTAATTATTCGATTACAAAAAAAAAACTAAAAACATATTAAGTTTAAATAATAAATAGGTACATACAGTACATTATTATTAGCCCCCATATTTCCAAAATGATGTTTAACAGAGCAAGGACATTTTAACAGTATGTCTGATAATATTTTTTTCTTCTGGAGAAAGTCTTATTTGTTTATTTCGGCTAGAATAAAAGCAGTTTTTGATTTTTTAAAAAGCATTTTAAGGTCAAAATTATTAGCCCCTTCGAGCTACATTTTTTCTCTATAGTCACTTTAAGCTTTTTAGAAGCGTTTTAAAAATATCATACATACATACATACATATTTAAAAGGTTTGTTGATCACAGACAGAAACACTTTGTCTCTGAATGGCAAATTATAAAGTCCCTGATCCTGGATCCACAAGGGAAGCTTTTCTCACATAAACCCGGTATATTGATCTATAATATATATTTGGCTGAAGTACAATGCTATCGCTGTGGTTTGTGTCCAGATTATAGTTCTCCACAGATCAGCTCTGATTGATTTCTCAAAGGCCATCCTAAAAGCAGCCCATCAGAGAAAGTGCTTTTCAAAAAGCGCAGCATTATGGCAGACGATAAAACACTCCAATATTTTTGGCAATCTCTTCCAAAAAGCTTTCTGGGGTGAAATGCAGATAAATCTATGCAGAGAGAAGTGTCTGTCATCAGGAGCGTCTGATGTCGGCTTTATTACTGTGAAAAGAAATGTCCATTAAAAATGTTACTGCTCTGAGAAATGTCCATAAATGGAGGAAGAAGTCGTGCTGAGCTGCACTTTCTGTGTTTATAACTCAGCTGCGATCAAATCAGATCATATTTAACTTCAAATCAAAAAAAGAAATCTAATGTAAACTGCATTTGACATTGAAGTTAGGCTTTAATTTCATAACAAATGAGTTCAGTATTTTTTTCAATTATTGTTTTTGTGTGTCTAGCAACTATTTTAAGTGTTCCTATTATTGTAACAGCAATTTTAAATTAATAATTATTTTTACTACTACTATTTCTATTATTATTATTATTATTATTATTAACTTTATTATTATTATAATTAACTTTATTATTATTATTATTATTATTATTATTATTATTATTATTATTAACAACAACATTATTATAAGTATTATTAACAACAACATTAATATTATTATTATTATTATTATTATTGAAAGCATTTAATATTTTAACAATATTACTCTTTTTCTTCTTCTTCTTACTATTATTATTATTATTATTATTATTATTATTATTATTATTATTATTGAAAGCATTTAATATTTTAACAATATTACTCTTTTTCTTCTTCTTCTTCTTAATATTATTATTATTATTATTATTATTATTATTATTATTATTACAATAATAATAACCACATTATTATTATTATTATTATTATTATTATTATTAATATTGTTATTATTATTATTAACATCATTATGATTATTATTATTATTATTAACAACATTATTATTTTTATGAACAACATAATAATAATAATAATAATAATAATAATAATAATAATAATAATAATTATTATTATTATTATTATTATTATTATTAACAACATTATTATTATTATTATTATTATTATTATTATTATTATTATTATTATTATTATTAACAATATTATTATTTTTAATAATATTATTATTATTAGTTTTGTGTTTGCATGATAAATGAATTGGCAATTATTAAATTACATAAACTAACATAATAATACAGAGCATTTTTGGTGTGAGGTTATTATCATTATTAGTATACAGTATGATAAAGCAAAAATATTTATACCACTCAATAATCAGCAGAAAATCCCTTATTGGAAATATCAGCAATCAAACGCTTCCTATAATTGCTGACCATCTTTTTGCACGTCTCCACTGGCATTTTTGCCGATTTATGTTTAGCAATGAGCTCCAACTCATTCAATTTGGATGCTGTCCATGCATTCACCCTGATCTTTAGCTCCCCCTACAGATTTTCAATTGGATTTAAGTCAGGACTCTGGCTGGGCCACTGTAAAATGTTAATGTTTTTGTCTGTTAACTCTTTCTTCACCACTTTGAAGACAACATGTGCAAAGCAAGTAGTTTTTCACAGTATTAATACTGACTTTAACTGCGTATGCCGTATATTTCCTTATTCTTACCAGTATGTCTCCTTTCAAAAGCAGGCCCGGTTCAATGGTGATGCAGATACTAGTCTGACTGTCTCCTTGGACATTACTGTGAACAAACAAACACACACAAAAACATCAGTCACACACATGTGTTAACCTCAATAATACACAAATGTGAGTCTAAACATAAGAGTGATCAATGCAAAAAACTAAAAGGATTATCCTGACAGCTGCAGTCTGAGAGCTGGAGAAGCTGAGATCTGTATGTGAAAAGCACATGTGGGCTCCTGTGTGTGTGTGTGTGTGTGTACGTCCTGATGGCTGGGCTTCTGGCCAGGGAAGCCTGAGCAATGGCGTGTAGGAAAACATGGGGTGTTTCTTACTAGATGCCAGATGTGTAGACGGGCTGCATGGCCTGGTAGATCTTCAGGAAAGGGCGGCAACCTGAGAAACCAAGAGAAGGAGGACAAAACAAAGGGTTACTAGAGCTCTACATGTCAACTACAAGTAAAATGCTGTTTCTAAACTCTCTCTCTATATAAATATATAAACTAAATATATAAATAAATTAAATTGGCCATAGTGTGTGTGTGAAAGTGTTTGTGTGTGTGTGTGTGTGTTTGTGTGTGTGAATGGGTGTTTCCCAGTGTTGGGTTGCAGCTGGTAGAGCATCCGCTGTCTAAAAAATATGCTGGATAAGTTGGCGGTTTATTCTGCTGTGGCAACCTCTGATTAATTAAGGGACTAAGCCGGAAAAAATAACAATAATAATTATAATAATAAGATACGCAGTTGAAGTCAGAATTATTAGCCATCCCCACACACTCACTTGCTTTTTTTTAAATATATATTTCTCAAACAGAGCAAGGAAATTTTCACAGTATGTCAGATAATATTTTTTTCTTCTGGAGAAAGCCTTATTTGTTTAATTTGAGCTAGAATAAAAGCAGTTATTAATTTTTTAACACCATTTTAAGGTCAATATTATTAGCTTATTTAAGCAAAATTTTTTTCTCTAGTCTACAGCAGTGGTTCTCAAACTGTGGTACATGCACCACTAGTGGTACACGGGCTTCCTTCTAGTGGTACAAAAAGGAATCAAATAGGTCATATGTACATGCTAAATATATTTCAAAATGTATCAAAAGTGATTTGTATATGAATATGATGACATATAGCCTATATTTATGAGGTCCAGCCAACATTTTCTGGTGTGGATGAATAGGCAACTATATGTTAATACTTATAAAAGCTGGTTTATCAGCACGCTGCTGCATTAAAAACATATGATTCGATTTGTGCCTTCTGATTGGTTCTCGGAATATAGCGGCTTTTGCCAACAAACTGTTTTTTCTGAATGTGCTGCTGCAGAAATTTGGATGATCTGAAGCAAAAATATTTGTTGAACATATTACGTGCCTAAAGCAGTTGCTCACTGTCATTAGCTCATTTTTAGCGGGAGTGAGTTTTAGCGGCTTTGAAATTTGTGCAAGGAAACTTTTCACAGTATTAAAAAACAACAGAAATATAATAAATACATTAATTAATAAAAAAAGTATATGTGTGTATATACACACACACACACACACACACATATATATATATATATATTTATACATATATACACACACACACACAGTTGAAGTCAGAATTATTATCCCCCCTGAAATAATTATTATTAATTAGGTTAACTGGGCAGGTTAGGGTAAATAGGCAAGTTATTGTGAAATGATGGCTTTAGATAATCA